ATGAATTATTTATTAATGTCTAAGACTTGTTAGATCACATTTCGAACAAAATATTAGTTTTCTGATTCTTAAAAAATTTAATTTTGCAAACAGATGCATGAAGGGATGGACAACCGACTAAAACTCTAATAAGCAAATTTTTTTGCCAATTTTGTTGATATCTAAGATTTCAAGTGTTAAACGAGGATTCTATGTACAAGATAAATAATTTCGAAATTTCATAATAAATATAAATTTGAATTAAATTTTTACCAAGACTATTCACGCCAAATGGACCGTTGTAAATCGTCTAAAGGCAATAAATGATAACAACATATTATAATCGTTTTTAATTTATATACTTGGTGAATTTATTAATTTTTCTATTTTGAAGAATTTTTAACTAGTAGTTCTATTTTGGAATTGAATTAAAAAATAAATACAAATGAAAATAATTTTTCACAGTGTACCGCTTATAAAGAAATTCAAGTCCTCGAAATATTTTCATTAATATTCAAAAATTTACCGTGTTTTTGAAAATTTAGTTCCAACTTAATACCATTTCAGTAGTTTGTTAGAAATGTGAGTGCTTTTCCATCGGCAAGAACAATTCTACTTGAAAATGTATTACCATATAGTGCCAGTATCTTAATTAAATAAGTACTTATAATGATCTTATAAAACGGCAGTCTCTTAGTGGCTGCACAGTCATAAATTTATTCAAAATTCCATTATTTTCTTTACTGTTGCCTCTGCTGCCAAATAAAAAATTGTTATAACTTTCGAACTCTTTTAAAAATGTTGTCGTTTTACGTAATTCTAATTAAGCACTGCCAATGTAGGTATAAGTCCCGAACATACAAAAATACTCAAATTAATTTTGAATTAAATTTCACTTTCATATAAAATTCAGAAATAATAAATTTTTGATATATGATCGAAGATATATTGTAAACTTTTTCCTTACTCTTTCCCTTCCTTTCTCATTTTTCCTTAATTTTCAAAGTTTCTCGCCTTAAACTTTCATTAATGAGCATTGAAATCTTTCGTTCATACTTCGTATATAAGCATGTACAAATGACTTACAATTTTATTACTTTTAAAACTTAAATATGCCGCTATATTAAAGCTTTTACTAATTACTTCAAAAAAAGCTCCAAATTAAGTTTCAATTTCTTATACTTTTACTATAAAGGCTTTAAAGAATGAAAATTCGAAATTAATTAAAATTTTCATAATAAAAATATTTTATATTTGAAATATTTGAAAGTATGTGTGTGTGTCTGCTTTATATTATATTTGTATATTTATGTTTTGTAATATTTTTATGGCAATTTCTGTTTTTCTTTTTTTTTTATTCTCTTTTAATTTTTTCGCCTTTTTTATGAGTATACTCGTAACATGAATTTTTTTTTTAGTAACAAAAACAACCAGCGTACAGCAATGGAATATGACAAAAATAAGAAATAAAAAAAGGCAAAAAAAAAATTCAATTGCCCCAAATAATTAATAAAAAACTAAAAGAATAAAAAAAACACAAAAAAAAAACAACAACAAAAAAACTCAGTTAGTGGTTCGTCGCAGTGTACTGTCAGATTATGCAAAATGTGATACTAAATAGTTAAAAACGACAGCTTTTTTTTCGTTTTTCGTTTAATCTAAGAATGCAGTAGTAGTTGTTTATACTATAATTTCTGTAATACCACAGTAATACTAACACAAATAATACTTAAAAGAAGAAAAACCGGTAGAATGAAATACCAAAGATATTTTAATGAATTAAAACTAAAAAAAAAAAATTATGTTTAATTAGGGCTTTTTTTATTTTAGTTGCTTAAACATAAAAATGAAATTGAATGAAATAAAGAAATCATTTGGAAATTTTTAATCTCCATCTATAGTGGCACTATATGGAAGTGCCAAATCCCTAATTTAAAGACGCAAACCCTGTTACATGATTCATCAGGGAAGTTTAAGCTAGCCCTTAACAATAATGCGGGGAGTTAGGCAAGGTTGCCCCTTTTCGCCAGTCCTCTTTAATATTATTTTAGATGAAATCATGAGGAAAACTAATGAAGTTAGAAATGGCATCAATCTGGAACATCTTCAACACCCTGGGTGATCTTGAGTATTCGGATGATGTATGCTTCTATTTGAAGAATTTCTCCGAGGGTCTTCGACTGCTACGTTAAGTCAATAATTTTTTACGGCAGTGAAACTTGTCTCATGAACAAGAAAAACATTAACAGAATGCAGGTCTTCATATACCGAATATTCTGGACGAACAGAATTAAAAAAATATGGGACCTATGCAAGCGGGATCCGATAGAATATCAAATAAGAACGAAAAAATATAGATGGGTAGGCGTAACATCGGCAGGCCCAAGAATACATGTTGAGAAACCATAGAAATAACAGCCGCAGGCAAGACTTTGGCGGAAATAAGGTCTATCGCCCAAAATAAAGAGAAATGGAGAGGTTTAATCGAAGCCTTATGCTCCTCAACAGGAGTTTGAGGGACAAAAAAAAAACATTACAGAATAACTTGTTTATCATGAATATCAATATTCAACCAAACACAAAATCTTATCAACTGAAAACTTTGCTTTTTTATTAAAAATTTAAATTTTAATGTAAGATATACTCGTAATATTAACAAGACTTTTGAATAAAAAGTATTAGAAATGCACATAAGATTCGAGTTTTAACTTTAACAAAAATATTTCACTTGCCTCACCTAAAAAATTTTACCTTTTTTACCGAATATAGTCCTTTTTATAATTTTAGTTAACAAACACAATAGAAAAATTATCATGAGTCATCGCATTCTTATAACAACAAAAATTTCATGCAAGGCGTCAACAGCCCAAAAATTTCAATTATGAAGGATGTGCGTGAAAAATGAACATTCCTTTTAAGAATCACGTACAAACGCTTCCTAAATTACAAAAATTTTTCAAATAAAAAATTACAACATGGTTTTATTATTAAATTTCCAACAAATTATTAATATTATTCAAAATAATTTCATATAGAAACTGTTCTCATTAAAATATCAAATATAAACTAAAAATATTTAACAACACACACTCATCTACCTAAACGTACATTTTCCATAAATATTAAAAGTTACAATGTGTCCATAATGCAAACTTACATTTACATATATACTCAACATTTGTTAACTAAAAATTACATAAATTACAATATAATATATACAATCATTCATTAATACATTATAATTTCATACACATGTGCATTTCATGAGGCAAAACAACAGTCATAACAGAAAAATTCGACGGCTTTTATTAAATAAACCTTAATCTTAATTAAAAAAAATTCTTCATTATCTATTTGAATAGGTAAATCTATTTACCTACCATATACAAAATTTCATATATATAAAATATATGAATAATAATTGAATTTTTAACACATACATACATTTTTATTTACTTTAAATACCTGTCAAATATTTTAATGTATTTGTCTTTAAAAAATTACTATGTGTTGTCTTTAATAAAGGAAACGGTGAAGAAACAAGGGCTTATAATTATTACAGCTCTCTATTTTATTCAAGAGTTTAAAAGAAAAATTTGTATATACATGCAATTCTCATTTTGATTTACATGTATTGTGTAAATGTAGTTAAAGAATTTGAAAAAGAAAATGAAAATGTTTAAAAACACTCGGCAAGTTTGTAACTTTAGTGGATGTGAGTAACACAGAGCTATTATTGGTATTTGAAATATAGGAGTCAGAATTAAAGGTGAAATAGGAAAATCGGCGTAATGAAGTCGAAACTTAAGAGTCAAAATAAAGGTGTAAGAGACAAGAAGCCGAGGTCGAAGAATTGAAATAGAAGTATCGGAGTCAAAATATTTAGATTTTCAATTTCCTAATTTGAAAAATATGTCATATTATAAGGAAAATTTTAGATGTTTTACGTATAGTTCGAAAAATTTTGAAATAAAATTAAATCGAATTCAAATTGGAATCCCAAATTTTCTCTAAATCAAATATCCAGACTCCAGAACTCTCCATATAACGCAGCTATCTACGAGTACTGCCGTAGCAAATCTATTCATATTAGAAAAATTGTATTAATTGAAAAAAATATAGTTGTATTTTTTCCTTATCCCCCGATAGATGGCTTTAATAATGTTTTTATAATTTTCAATTTTCAAGACCCTTGATATATAAAATTTATAACCTAAGCTGTATTTCGGCAAAACGAAATTGCTGTTTCATTCCAGAAGTAATCACACTCATAAATTGTTATTGTTGTTTATGTGACTGAAACACAAACAAAAAAAAAACAAAAGATTTCAATGCTTTAATTTTTTTAATCAAATTTTAAACGAGAAACTTTAACAAAATTGTTCAGTATAGAGACAACATAATTTCTAAATTCAGGATTTTGAACCGAGATCTTTCGAATAAAAGGTTCATCATAGTTATTTGTTTTTATTTATAGTGCATTGGGTCACCTTAAATATTATTTTAATACAAAATTTTACATACTCGTTACAAGCTTGTATCCTATTGTTTTAGGAATTATATAAAATCAAATTTTATTCCCCGTCTCATATACATACATTATGTTAGACAAAAAATTCCAATACATTCAATTTTTATATTTTCTTTAATATTGTTTTTTTGCTTGCTTCTTATTCTTCATCGTGTATTTCTTTATTGAAAGCAAACTAAAAATAATATATTGACGTAAACGAGAGTTCGAGTGTATTAAAATGAAAACGAAGTCACACAATAATAAAACAGGTACTAATACACAACAATTTTTAATTTATACAGGTAACACAGTCTACCATTAAAATAAAATATTTTTGTATTTTATTATTCTTTTCTCTTTATTATTTTATTTTCGAAGTCTTTAAAGTTGTCTTGCTTTTTTTCCCATTTATTTTTTTCTTTTATTTCCACATTTTTTTCTTATATTTTTTTTTCTTTTCGTATTACTAAAGACTTGAGACTTGAGAAAAATACCACGTCGCAATTTTTATTAGTTATTCTCGAGTATCGCTCGTAATCCGGTGTTAAATTGAATACGATACGGATCGCGTATATATTTACTGTTTGGTCACATAAATACAAAAAAAAAAACAAAATTTCTTTATTTCACAGATTTTTATTGCATTTTTTTTTGCAAAATGAAAATTTAATATTGAAATTACAAAAAATACTCAAATGGATTTATAAGTGAAAAAAAATTCTTCAAGAAAAGCAATAAAAAATTTTTAATTTAAATACAACAAAAATTTATAAATATAAGGCTGACTAATATAAAAAAGAAATAAGCGAAAAAAAAATGCCTTAAGAAAATTAAATTTAAATTTTTTTTTCCACAAAGAGTTTTAAAATTCAAAGAAATCGCACAGACAACAAAATACAAAACAAAATATAAAAAAAATTGAAGTTGTGGCATTCTGAAATATTTCAGAAAAAAAATTCGAAAGTATAAAATTTTTTTAAATTAAAATTTAATTATAAATAAATTAAAAATTATATAATTGACTTGAAAAATTTAATATTAAGAAAACAATTACAAAATAAAAACACACAATAAGCCCGAATAAATTCAAAATTTTATTCAAAGTGAAATAAAGGATAAATTAATTCACAATAGAAAATAATAAAAATTCAAAATATTTTTAAATATTTGGTAAACAAGTTTTAAACTTAATTATTTTAAAAAATTCGTAAATTTAAAATATAAAAATAATCTCGAAAACTTTGGAAGAAAAAAAAACCTTATTTTTTTTAACACACACTCTTAAAATAATTGAATTTAATTTTTTTTGTCCTCTTAGACAACACACTAGAATATTTTGTTGTTTAATTTTTGTTTTCTATCTATTTTTAATTAAAAATAAATTATCCGCCATATTATTTTAACCAGGAAAGATATTATAGAAAAAAAAAAAACAAAAAAACATATATATTATTATTCTATTTTCTTTATTTTTCCTTTTTATTATTGTTTCTGTTATATACACTCAACACGGAATAATATATTTCTACAAAATTAAAAAAAAAAAACATAAGAAGGCACTCATCACCCATCATTGTTTGTAAAGGAATTCCAAAAGGAAAACGGAATGTGTATATGTAAATAAAGAAAAAAAATTATATACCAAAAATACAATTATTATACAAGCACATACAATTGAATATACGTAGTATAACAATAATTATATAACAAAAAAAAAATTTATGATTAATTTAAAGAACAAGAAAAATATTCTGCGTGAAATTTCAATATTTTGGTTTTAAATTTAAATAAAATTTTGGTTTTATATGAAAATAAAATCGAATTAAGTAATATAAAATATAACAATATTATACATTTTGACAGATTACTTGCAATTTAATATAACAGAAATTGCTGGATGAAAGCATTTAATTATATATACAAATAAATGAGATTTAAGATTTTTAAATTTAAAATACTCTAATTATTTAAACTCATTATCAATAAATATAACAAATACTTTTTATATGTAAAACAAATTCTTAATTAATTATATAAAAGAAAAATATTATGTTATGTTACTATTGTGAATTAAAATTATTAAAAATATATTTACCTATATAATCTCAATAAAATGACAGAAATATTACACTAACAAAAAAATATTCAACTGTTATGATGAATTAAAATGAAATTTCTTTGTATTAGTGTAGATCTTAAAAAAAAAAATTATCTATGTATAAATTATAAATAAAAATAAACTTAAAGAGTTAAGAAAAATTTTTTTTTTATTATTTTTTATAAAAAATTTTCGAAAGAAAAAAAAATTTATCATAATACTTACTCGGTGAATAATAGTAAAAAATAAATTGTGAATGTATTTAATTTTATTATTTTTTTTTTATAGAAAAAAAAATCAAATCTAAATATAATACTTACAATATAATATATTAACAGTTTTAAATAATATACAACATATATGAAAGTGTTTGTGTGTGTTTAAATTTAAATGATTAGAACGTGATCGGAATGTTTAACATTTTTATTAAAAAACCAGTTCAAAATACCGAATAATAATGGAATGGAAAATATTTTCCAAATCAATTCAAAATAAATACAAATTCGAAATATCGATATTTAAAATAAATATAATAAAAAATATTCTATGAAATTTTTCGAAATTATTTTATAAACGAATAAAAAAGTATAAAAATTTTTACAATTTCATTCAAAAGAGAAAAAAAAAAGTGTGGTTAGAAAAATTTAATAATTTTTTTTTGATTTAATATTTGTGGAGTGTGTCACCTCTCTGGAATTATAAAAGAAGTGTTGTAAATGAAGAATTATTTTTTTTTTTTATATATTGAAGAATATACTAGAACAGTGAGAGCAATCGAGAGGAAATAAGAGCAAGGAGAATCGATATTTATTGTTTTTAATTATTCTTTAAAAAAATTTTATCAATAAATTTTATCATTTGAGATTTCTTACACAAGTTTATCATACTTTCTTTCTTAATTTTTATATTGCATCTTTCTTCTTCACTAGAAATTCGATTGTGATCAAATATCGAAAATTCAAAAGGTTTAAAGTGAATAAATTAAATATTTTTTTTAATTTCTGATTTATTAAACGAGTTATTCTTTCCAAATTTAAATAAGAATATTCCAAAAAGAGAATACCTAAAAAGAAAAAAATTATCAATAGAGAAAGAAATATTAGAATAGAAGAATAAAAAATAATTTAGTCAAAAAAATTAAAATTAAAATTATGTAAAAATTTGATATTTAAAGAGAAGAGAAAAAAATCTAATAAAATTAAAATTCTAAGGGAAAAAAGTACAATAATTTCCTAAAAAAAAAATTATCTAATATAAAATAATAAAAAAAAAATCAAATATTTTATAACAAAAATTCCCTGTTAAAACAAAAATTAAAAGAATTCATAAGCAAATCATACAAAAAAGACACAAGAAAAAGAAAAAATGGCTGAATCAACACCAATTTGTCGTTGTCGTGTCCTTTATTTAGGTAGTGCTGTACCACGTCAAAGTAAAGATGGTTTACAAGGTATACAAGAACCATTACGTAGTTTATATCCATCAGAGGGTGCAATTGGAGCTAAAGGTATTGATTCATGGTTAAGTGTATGGTCAAATGGTATATTATTAGAGAATGTTGATGAAAATTTAAAACAAGTAACACGTTTCTTTCCAATTGAATCATTACATTATTGTGCTGCTGTTAGACAAGTTTTAATACCAGAACGTGGTAGTTCATCACCACCAGAACCAAAATTTTTACCATTAGATTCACCATTTGCCCGTATGCCAAAAGCACAACATCCACCAATATTTGCTGCAATATTACGTCGTACAACTGGTATTAAAGTATTAGAATGTCATGTATTTATATGTAAAAGGGAAGCAGCAGCAAATGCTCTAGTCAGATGTTGTTTTCATGCATACGCTGATAATTCATATGCAAAACAATTAGAATCTGGTCCACCAGGTAGTGCTATAAGTGGTATTGGTATTAGTGGAGCTGGTAGCATTGGTGGTGGTAGTAGTGTTTATGGCACATTAGGTGGTTTAGGTGTATCAACAAATTCTGGTTTAAGTAAATCAAATGGTGATTTAACAACAGCCGGTATTAGTGGTAATAGCGGTAATGGATGGCGTTCAAGAGCTGGTAGTACAACAACATTAAATAGTGTTGGTAGAACATCAAATGGACATCATCAAATGTTATTAAATGGTAATGGTGGAATTGGTTTAAATGGTAGCGGAAGTAATAGTAGTGCAGCTGAAGGTTATACATCTGTTAAAAATTGTAAGTAAAATTAAAATTTTATTTATTTTTATTTTTATATTTTATACAAAATATTAAAATCTAATAATTTCTGAGCTACAAAAATGAATTCGAAAATTTTTTATATTCGAAAAGAAAAAAATTTCTTTTTTTTCTTATTTTTATTTCCGTCCGAGAATTTTTTAAAGATGAAATATTGAAAAAGTATGATAAACTTTGCCAATTATAACAATATCCGCTTTTTCCCTCATTATTGAATTATCGAGCATTCCATTTTATGTAGAAAGAAAACCAAAAGAAGAAAACAAAACAGCAGAACCAAAACTTCACTTTCATTCATTCGCCATGCAAAACCAAAAAAAAAAAAAAACAAAATACAAAACGTACTCATTTCTCTTATCTTTATCGCCATATTTGAATGATTTTTGCGTTCATTATTTCGTTTTTGGTGCTAGTTTGTTGCTTCTGTTGTTCAATTCATAAAAAACACACACAACAAATATAGCACGAAACTTTTTGTATAATTTCATTGTTCAATCAAAATTCAAAGTTGAATCAACTGTGAGTATAAAAATAAAAAGAAGAGAACACAAATTGTTTTTATTTTTGGGTCTAAGACAACAACCTCGCGTTGTCAATCAAGGAAGTTGTTACTATATCTGGGACAAAAATGTGTGAGATGCCTACAAAATATTTTCATTTTTTCGAAATTTTATTTGCTTTCCTTTTTTTCTTCTCTTCATAATTATTATTTTTGTGTTACTTTACTCATTATTTACCTATACCCATAGTTTGTTGACTTTGAAATGTTGTCTTTAAATAGCGTCCGTACACGGTTATGCAAATATTTAATAAGAAAGTTTGTATTTTTTCAAATGACATTTTAATAAAAAAAAAAATATAAACGAAAAATAAGAAACTGTTTTGGACAATAAAATAAAATTTTTACATGGTATATAAAAAGAAAATCAATTTGAAAAATAGAAAGGTTACCTTCGGCAAGTAAATAAATTTTTACTAAACTATGCACTCAAGTGTATATATTTTAGATTAAATATGTCACCTGTTTGTTATTTACTATGAATAGAAATTTTTAAAATTCATCAAATCAGAGGCAGTCTGCCAGTAGTAAATGTAAAAAAATTTTACATTTATTTTTTTTGTCAATTCGCCAATGTTTTCACTTGTAGTGTACACTTGGGATACGAACGATTTTCTAGTCAAAAAATTTCTTTATGTAAATGTTATTAAAATTTATAAATTGCTAGTAAAATAAATTTAATAAGAAATTATATTGACTTAATTTAAATGCAGTACTGGAGTTGTTAAATCTGGTAATCCAATAAATTTTATTGGAAAAATATTTTAACGTTAGAGTACAGGAGATTGGACTTAATTTCACTTATAAATAATTGAGCACTTTGTATATAAATTGAACACAATGTGGAATATTCTGTATATTCAAATTTTGTTATACAGGAGTGAAAATTACTCTCATAGTACTTAAACATTGAAAATTGGACATTTACATATTAAATCACTAAAAATATTGATATATGAATTGAAAATAGTGTACGTATAGACGAATTAGACGCGCTATTTTAGTCCCAAATCTCTCTCTAACATAATTTCTAATTTAAACATACTTCACTTTTTTTTAAAAACCGGTTAAAATCTTTAACCCTTATATTCGCTAAATTCTCAACATACCAAAAATATAAGTGACGTTGTAAAAAAAAATATCAGCCTCAAAACTCTTTTGCACCACGTTGCCATATCAGCTTCTGTTAAAATCGTTTCTCAAATAATTAAACTTGCTCAAAAGATAAGCCTAACCGTAAGGATTTTTCTTTATGAAATTCATAATTTTATGTTCGAGAACGCATTCTTTTAATGATATTAAAGAAATTAATTTTTGAATTGTTTCAACACAATTCTGAATTTTTAATAAATTTTCGAAATAAATTCAATAAATAAAATTAATAATGCATATGCCGAACTATGCTATCATTTTGTCTACATCATTGCCAATCAATCAAAGAAAATTTAATGAGAAAAATTCTCAAACATATAAGAAAAACTTCTTACTATATATAATTCATCATTTGAATGCAATATTACAAAAATAAATCTGAATAAATTCCAATTTGTTATAATTTCTATTATATAGTATTCCAATAGTCGGACGATTGATTTTACAAGAAATAAGTGCGTGTATTTAAATGGTCATTTACATTTTATAAGATTTTCTAAGAATCATCGCGTATTGAAAGGGCTCACCTATTTTCTATATAATTCTTATATTATTAAGGCATGACAAATTTTATTAATTAAGTGTTTATTGTATTAGAATTTGAAAAAATTTCTACAATTCTATATAGATACCCTCAGTTCATTATAAATTTGATTAATTATGTAGCATTGGATATTTTGATATGGTAAAATATTCTGCGTTCAATTATTCAATCATATTTAATTATTCAAAATAGAAAAACTTAAAATTTCTTTTAATTTTGAAACATTATAAAAAATATCATCGATTGCCAAACCTTTAAATATTAAAGAAAAAAAAATTTTATTCAAAATAAAATCAATAAATTTCTTTTCTTTCTTTTTTTAATGTTTTCTTCATTTACACCTGTTAAATTGAAAATAACGCATCAACGCATTTTATTTAGCAAGCGTGCAGAGAAAAAAAACTCAAAAAAAAAATTATTTTTTTTTTTTTTACGTGACCAACTGTATATGAAGTTTATCTATTCAATAAAAAAGAAAATACAATAAATTTGCTTAGCCATAACATTTTTGAATTCCAAATATCCATCGAAATTTAAACACTTTCCCTTTATATAAAAAAATTTATTTATTTTTTTTTACTGTTTTGCAATGCAAATATTCAAATTACAATTCTCCCCCCTCCTCCCTTTTGTAACACTTTTATAACTACTTATATATAGTTAAAATGTGAGGAAACTCTAAAAAATCAATGAAATAAGAAACAAAACAAAAAAAAACATTGCAATTCAAAGATGTTTGAATAGGAACTTAAAGCTTACGTTTGATGTTTTTTAGAAATTTTATTAAAATATTTTAAATATGAATATGAATATATTTTATTAATCACCAAAGAGCTCTTAAATATGTAATATGTATACCATAAAATATGCGCATTCATATATAACTCGGGAGCCAAAAAAAGTATTCCGAAAAAAATAGTAAATTACCAGAGTATTACAAAGAAAGAACAATAGAGAGTTGGTAAAGATTATGCCGAATCTGTGATAGCCTTCCGAATGAATAATTCTATGAGTTTTACATGGAAACAACTAGATAATTTCGACTATAGTTTTTCAAAATAATTACCTTCTCCATGTAAAATATAGTGTATATCGTGTTAAATTTTATCACAGTAATTTAAATGATTTCTAAGGTAGGAGTTTTAAATTGTAGGTAGTCTCTAATTTGAAAAATTTTCACAGATTTTTTTAGCTTGTAAAATTCCCTTGTTTTAGCGAAATCGCTAGCATTTAGTATTAATTATTAGCGAATGCAATTTTTTTTTTCGCCAAATTTGTTTTCGCAATGGTAACATTGTACAATATTGACAGTATTTTAAAATTCACGATCACAACAAAATCCTTTATACTTTTGATCTTACTTGTCATCACATCACGATCCCATTTGCCAGATTTTTCGTTGAATTTTCAAAAAAATTTGTCGAATTCGCCAAATCTGTATAAAAATAAACTGTGGCGAATGGGGCCGCTAAACATAATAAGCCTAATGTGTAATTTTATGTTGAACGCGATTTGAGGATGTTAATAAAATTTGTACACTTCTTGGTATACTATAATTAGTAAAATCATAATAATTGAACTTTGAAATGTTTTACAGTTTCGAAAACCAACGTGAAACATTAATAGACCAGACTTTCTTTAAATATAACCAATTTTTAATCAAATTTAGTACTAAGACTAACACTTTTCATGTTATCAAAATTTTTTTTGTAGGCACGTTTATGATATGTCAAAATATGGGCACGTCTTTTCGAAACCAAACAACAACAATAAAAAAAGCATAGAAAATATAGAAAATTTTGTCATTCATATATTACGAATTATTTGAATAAATTATTTAAAAATGTAATGAAAAGAAAAAAAAATTTCTTTAATTTTTATAATTTCAAATGTGACACATAAATTATGACAATCTTATAAACAATAAATGACATTATGACATAAGTGAACTCTCATTAAATTAAAGGTTGTCAAAAGGTTTTTTTTTTGTTTTTTAATTTTATCATATGTGGTACTGAGAATTTCATTGAAATAAAATTTTTAATAAAAAAAAATTTAATTTAAATTTTTTAACTATTTTATAACAGTTGAATTATAATTTTTTTTCTTTTCTATTTTGAAGTTATATTTTTTTATATTAATTTTTATTGTCATATCGTTGAAGCAATCACAGTTGTCTACGGAATACTTAATCGTATTATATTCGAAATTTTAAATGGAGGAAAAAAAATTAAAAAGAGAATCGCATTGAGATCTTCAACAAAAATATTTCGAATTTATTCAGGGATTGGCAATAAAAAAAACTATTAAATAGATTTTAAGGTTTTTTAATAATAAGTTGATCGTAATAATTAAGTATTATATAATTGGTAATTACACGGAAATCTGAATATATCAAACTAAAATTTTCATATATGTATTTACACATATTAAAGAAGGTTTTGTACAGTGTGAATTTCCAGTTTTTATGATGTGATCAATAGCAGTCATACGATCTGGAATTAAAAATTTTATTAAACATCTAATGTACCACTCACTACTAGAATGTTCAACAATTTTTTTACAATGTTACAAATTTCCTAGGTTCCTCATTAAGTTAGCACAATATTTTTGTCTTATTGTACAGTTTATTATAAAAATTTTATCTCAATATTTAATAGAAAACTTGTAAAGATTAATTTAAATTTACATTTGAACTTAACGAACCAAAATTTTCTAATTTAA